TGTGCACCGTTTATTTGTCAGCTTTTAACTGCAGTCTCCTGTGGCTTCCACCAAAGTCACTGCATCCATTATCTATGCAACTGATATTCATTATGGAACAAATGCATAGGCTAAAACTTGAAAAAGGCAACAGCTTGAAAAGGGACACAGAATCACAGAATGGCCAATTACTCTGTTGGGATAAGGTGCTTTCCTCCTCCTTTGAATGTCTTTGCTCTAACTTAGCTCATCAGGGGTTCATTTTAACAGTCTCACACATGAATGCACAGAACTGTGCATGGATGCAGAAGTCCACATTCACATATCCCTGGGCTACATTGACTCATGTGCCCTGCAGTGGATCTTGCACAAAAAAACAAAACAAAACAAAACAAAACAAAACGGGGCTAATGTTTGACACAGAACACACACAAACTCTGACAGCAGCGTGTCGCTCAAAAGCCTAGGATGGTGACACCAACACATGCAGGCACACACTCTTTCTGACAGCTATTTTGTGGAGATAAAATGGTTTGTAGACATTAGTGATGGGGTGTGCAGGACGAGTGTCAGCAGACGTGGGAGGGAGAGAAGATGAAGCCATGATGGAAGCTGCAGAGTGGGTAAAGAGTCAGAAAGCGAGCCTGCTGAGAGTTTTAGGAGAGATGGACATTACCTCGAAAAATAATTTATGCCCCCTGAACTTTTTCACTTTTTGTGCAACTACCAAACTTCAATAGATTTAGGTTATCTTCTGATGGATCAACGCAGAGTAGTACATAATTGTAAAATGATAAAAACTCCTAACAAATACAAAGTTTGAGTATTTTTCTTTCTGTTATCTGTTAATCTGATAGCTCTATCAAATGAAATCTAGTGCCCAGCTGTGTGTGTGACTTAATTTCAGTTGAAATCCAGCTGTTCTGTAAAGGCCTCGGATGTTTGCTGGGAAGGTTTTATTGAGTAAACAGTCTCACGACTTCCAAAGAAACACAGCAGACGTGTCAGGGATAAAGTTGTAGAGCAGTTTGCAGCAGCACAGTAGGATACATGATAAGTGTCCCAGTTACAGGACAAACTCCTAACAATGTTGCCACCATCACCCCAGAGCACCTCACTAGAACTTCATACAGATATCTGTTCAATCTATAGTTCAGAAACAAAAAATATGGCACAAAGGCAATCCTTTGACTGTGAGATACATCCAATTTATTGTTACATTTTGATTTTGCTCCAAAATGATCATATTAACAGATTAATTATCATAAAATTATAATATAAATTATTAGTTACATAAATATTCTGTTCTGGAGGTATGGTGTTACATTTTCCATGACCAACCAGCTTTATGCCAACATAGATGTAAATTCATCTTGAACAAAAAAAAAAAAAAAAAAAAAAAACACACACACACACACACACACACACACACACACACACAC